TTACATCTGATATCCATAAAGTTTGCGAAGGAACCGATGCGAGAGGGAAGTGAGGACAATCCGGCGGCTCCGATAATAAAACTTATATGTTTGGATATTAACAGCACGTGGTAAAAGAGGGCGTGCGAATTACCTTCAGGGAATGCAATGTATGCTACGATCTAAATCATTTGTGGTACATGTTATGATTTCCAGGGACAGTTCACAGTGAGTACACGTAAAACCCGCTGTGTTTCGGTGGCCCTCGCTTGCGTTCTGGCACTGTGCCATCCTGCAGACTATGTCCTTTCCTTCGGTTCTCTTCCATGTTTAGCTGAATCCTCCGCTTCTGTTTAGTTGTCGTGGAAACGCGAGTGTCTGCCTGTGAAGGACGAGGTCCCGGCATGCGGTTGCAAGCACACGTCACGCCACTGCTCGTCTCCTAACCTTGACATGAAGTTTCTAAAATTAACGGACAAGATGGCACTATTCCCTCCGTCCCTTCGGTGTGTTCATACAGCCGTTGCGAGGGAAAGGAACGCCTGTCAATCGAACTTACCTTGACTACAGTGTGGTTATCGGAGAAACGGTGTAAAAGGAATAGCTGCCGAGCTTCAACTGTCACCGAGGAGGCGTGTCATGCATTTATACGAAGCCGGTGGAGATGCCGATTATCTTTTTTATCTTAATAATCATTCGCACGTTGATGTTTCTTTTACATCACGCTTCATATACTGTTTTCAACGTTGATTTCTGTGGAAAAATATATATTAGTATAACAATTTAGTCATCGCTTTACATTATTGACAGCCAAGGAATAAATGGCGACTTGGCAACTCAACCCCCTCGTTGCACCACCTTTACTTGCTCTGACTTGCCAACACCAGGAAAATCTTGCGTTTTAAAGACAAGCGGAAAGTGTCAATCGTTGGTCATAATGATAATGATAATGACAGCAATAACAAAAATAACCATAACGGTAATGATAATAATGATAATGATGACAATATGATAATGATAATGATGACAATGATAATGATAATTACAATAATAATAATGATAATGATGACAATAATAATGATAATGATGACAATAATAATGATAATGATGACAAATAATAATGATAATGATGACAATAATGAATGCCAATAATAATGATAATGATGACAATAATAATGATAATGATGACAATAATAATGATAATGATGACAATAATAATGAATAATGATGACAATAATAATGATAATGATGACAATAATAATGATAATGACAATAATGATAATGATGACAATAATAATGATGATAATGATGACAATAATAATGATAATGATGAACAATAATAATGATAATAATGATAATGATGACAATAATGATAATGATGACGATAATATAATGATAATGATGATGACGATAATATAATGATAATGATGACAATGATATAATGATAATGATGACAATAATAATAATAATAATGATGGCAATAATAATAACCATAATGATAACAATAATAATGATGATGGTTAATAATTACAGTGAAAAGAACAAAGATGATGAAAATAACAACAACAATAATAATCAAGATAATAATGATAATGATAATAATAGCAATATTATAATAATAATAATATTAAAATATAATAGCAATATTAATAATGTTAATAATAGTAATATTAAAAATGATAATAATAGCAATATTAATAATGTTAATAATAGCAATATTAAAAATGATAATAATAGTAATATTAATAATGATGATAATGGTAGTGATAATGATAATTTTACTATATTTATGTCATAATATATGTCTATATGTCTATGCCGAATTTCTGTGCAACAAGGGAGGGGGGGCTTAAGGTTTTTTTTTAAAAAATATTTAAGATATATAAATAAGATATATAAAGGTATTTTAAGATATATTTTAAGATATATAAAGGTATTTCCTAAGTACCATATATTAGCCCTGTGAAAGCTAGCCATTAATAGTGACAACGGATATTTTGTTCGCAATATCTTTAAAACCAATTCTTAAGCAATATATAGCTTAATATTTGTACTTCTGACATCACCAGAGAACCACCTTGGGTATATGTAACAAATAAAACTAATAACACTAAAAATTATAATTGTTTTGAATAATTTATGATCAAGGGGACCCACTCGTTCCCGCTTCTCAGGCCCAGGCAGTTGACTGTGGCGAGCGGAGGGGAGAAGACGTGTCTCGTGTCGCTCCGTCTTTTCGGGGGATTCGGTTTTGTGACTGATGATATATTCTCTAAATAAAGGGATTTTTTTCTTTTTCTTTCGGGGGAGGGGGGTATTTTACGTTTGTTTTGCTTCCTCCTCCAGTTCCTTGACTTGAATTTACCCTTTTAATGTTGTTTTTTTTCCTAAATATTTGAATATATTTGCCCAATCTGGATCACAGTATCCAGTTAACCTTAAATTTTATTTACACTTAATGCACTTCAATCCGTAAGTCAGTGTCATATTTCTATATCTTAATGCATACTTAACTATGCCTGAATATGCTTTTGTTGGCTTAGACATGTGTTGAGATGATTTAGTCACAACATAGGACAAATTTGGTCTTGTTCCAATCATAGCAATTATCAAATTTCCTATAATCTCTGTATTCTCTTCCTTCCTCCGCCGATGGATCACAGTCATTTCAATCTAGCCTTTACTTCCCTTCCCATTGACTTTATAGACTTTGAAACCTTATTCTTTTAAAACCTTTCCCGATAGTTGGAGACTTTTAACTCTAGCCACACCCTCTCGGATGACCCTATCACTTCCCGAGGTCGCTCCTTACACACTCTCTCATAAACACTATTCTTATTCTCCTAAATTCAAACTGTCCCACACATTTCGACATGGAAACCCGATCCTTCTCATGCCTTGATCTTTCCCTTTGCTCTCCTTCCCTTCGTCAGTAGTGGCTCTCACCTTTCTCCTCACTTCTCTTCTGTAAAACCAAAGAGCGAACTCCTATCTCCTTCTCCCTGTCCTCTACAGAATCTTACAGTGCACCCTTTTCTTCTGAAATCTATCATGCATTTGGTATTAGATTTTTCGATTTGGAAAAGGGATATGATACCACATAGCTGCACCATACCTGTCAACAGCTGTTTTCTCATGGCACATGGTCCTTTCTTTCTAATAGTACCTTCCGTGTCCGATTTACATCATTTACTTCCTCTTTCCATCAATTTGAAGTTGTCCTACGAGGCAGTGTGCTTAGCACCACATTATATCTCTTTGCTGTAAACGGAATAGTTTCAGTCTACCACCATCTTTGCTTCTTAGTAGGCCCTCTTTATCAAAGCAGAGATCGGCAGTATTATTCACGTCTTTTGAAAATGGATACTTTTGAAGCGGGGAATTCTTGCCGTGAGGTCATCAGTGGCTTCCTAGATATACTGGAACTCCACAAGTGCCTCCAGTAGATCCGTAAAGAATTCAGTTTGCATATTCAACAATTCAAAAATCTAATGCAGAATCTGTAAGGTTTTATGAACAGTATTTTTTAAAACTGAATATGCTTCACACAGTTATTTGAATGACAAGCGAGACAGAACCAGTAGAAAACCGATCTTTGTTGCCTTTCCCTCCAATCTTTTGACGCGAAGCACCCGTGCAAGCCAAAGGGTAAACATCAGACCTAAGAGCTTTACCTCTAGGAGAAAGGGCAGTAGATTTGCTGCCAGAGAGAGGGATGGATGGACACATTTTCCTTCCCTCGGTCGAAAGGCTTACTCGCAGCTTTGTTTAATAAGGATTTGAAACCGCGGTGTGTTACTGTGCAGCACTGTCGCAATTGGCCTCATATCAGTATTCAAAATTCAAATTTAAAACACTTTATTCAATTATTGACATTAAAAAATACATAGTTATATGGGATAATCAAAATTTCAGATACATTCATAGAAAAACTTGATAGATATTTATATCACAAGAAACTGAGATCCAGTGTTTGGTCGTGTGAAAATATGCGATATCAATTTTTTTTTTTTCAGGTAATTATACAGATTTGAAAATTACTAAGACTTTTAAGCAGATGGATCCTGATCATGGGCCCATAGATTTTTATGTCTTGCCCATTTCTGAACATGATCTTTTGACAATTGAACAGTTTACCTGTTGTGTTGCATATTGTCTGTACAGGTAATAGGCAGAGGAAAATCAATCTGAATTTAGGAATGAGTAGACAGGTGTCATATTTACATTTCAGTAATTTCAACTACTTTAGTTTGGTTATTTGATGGCGTTATATGATCACGTTGATTAACATTGCCCATTGCTACTCTTGCAGCAAAATCGTTTTTTTGCGTTTTTGCATTTTAGTTTTGTTGGAAAACCTCTTATGTGGAATTCCGTAAGATTGGCGGTACTTTTTTTGCGAATTCTGACTGCGTTCTCGTGGAAAAAAAACAATTTCTGAATGAAGGATTATCATTTCGTAAATTCTGAGTTTTATTACGAAGAATTTCTGTCAAAAACCTTCGATGAATCGCTTAGCGAGAGTAGATTGATTCGGTTATTGTCTTTGCTCTTCGATAAAGCTGTCTCGTGAAGAGCTTCCTTCTGGAATCCATGTTGCATTTCACGTTTTCTATTGCTTGGTTTGCTTCTGCTTCCGAAAGTACCTCAGGACATCACAGGGAGTAGAGAAATAACAGCTACTTTATAATTTTTCATGCGTGGGTCCCCATTCCCTTTCCAGAGTTCAGGTCTTGGTGCTTCCTGGATGCAGCCCGCGCTATCTCGGTACAACACATGATGTACCACTTTGCGGACCATTAATGATGAAAATACGTGGCATGTTATACCCTGTAGTAATCCTTGTTAGGGGCGGACACGAAAGAGGATTAGTATAGATTATAAATAAGGAATTACTAATGGTATGGAGACACTTTATGCATCATTCTTTGGGTAAGCTAAATATTATTTAAAGTACCACAGTTTCCAAAGCTAAGAAAAATATGTATATAATCAGGTTATAAAAAGCACCATGATAAATT